CCCCCCCCTTACGCGCATTTGTGATAATCCATCGGTAACGAGCAATCACACTGCACATGTACAGAGTACAGCCGAGACGGATGCGCAGCGCGCAGCTCATCACAGGACGGGCAAGGGCGGCCAGGATAACGACGTGCAAAGGGCGGGCTGGCGCGGGTCCGGGCGGTGTGCCAGAACGACGCCCTGGGTATAGCGAGCTGAGAACATGCATGAGGGAGGTGGGCGCGCGGCCGGGCGGGTCGGCCTGGCCTGGACGCTGAGGACGGCGACGTGCACGGGCACGAGGCCGGGGGCCGGGCGGTGTCGCAAAACAGTAAAACAGTGCCCTGGGTAGCGCCGGCCGGCCGGTGCCGGTGACGTGCCGTGAGGTATGATATTGATTCGTCATGATATCACAGCGACATTTTAACGACATCAACCTCTCCCCGATCCCAACCCCAACACCCCAACCCTGCTATACTGGTTTTGTTTACAATGCACTCACCTGCTGTAAACTTGGTCCAGGTGTTGGTGATGATGAGGAGGATGCTTCAGTTGGAGGCTAAGGTTAGCCTCGGCCTCTTCGGAGGTGGCAGTGCCATGTGATGATGTAGTCAAAATCACAAAATCAACAATAACTAGCCGGAAAGACGGACCAGACACTGCACGGAACGCCGCACGCGGTCGCGCACGCTGTGTTGTGTGTGGCCGGTGTGGTGTGTGTGTGGTGCGTTTGTTGCGATGAATGGCAACTCTGACTTCTGGCTGGACCGGACACCGCACCCGCACGGAGACGGAGACGGAAGAGGAAGAGAGGGGAAGACGAGATCGCTAGGGCGAGGGGCAAGCGGAGGGGCGCGTCAAAATAAGAGGCGGGTCACACACCCGCCCACCCACCCACCCCACAACCGCTCTCCAATGCGCAAATTCGCTCTAAAACGCGAATATATGCATATTTTAGGAAACGGGAAGGCCTACAGATAATTATTATGTAATGTTTTAGTATTTTAATTCCTGTGGCGTCGAGATCTGCGCTACTGCTGCGTCTGCAGTCTCAAACGACATTTTGAGAAGGCCCGCGGCGCGGCGCTCGCGCTCGTTCCGTTTTGTAACAACAAGTGACGATCGGATATCAAGGTGGAATGAGAAAGTTAGATTTTGCCGGTCGGGATCGACACAGTTAAATTGAGCCAGGGTGAGGTGGTGTTCGGTTGGTTTGGTGTTTCAGCGTAGACAGGATTTTAGTGAATTATTGACGAGTCGTTTGTCGCGTTTATTAAAGAAAAACATAAAATGGCTATGGATGAAAGTGAATTTGTGGATGTCAAATTTTCTAACCTGCCTAAGGATTTCTATGAGGTAACTCATCAAAAGTTTTTCTTGTACTTGTATCCCCATATAAAGCAATGAATTAATTTTCTGTGCATTCTTTTCAGAACCTATTTTTGTCCCAATTGAGGGGAAAACTTAGCTTAAAAAGGAGCAGGTCAAGTCTAAACAAAGAGATTCTAAGTTGTGTCTATGACAAACCTAGTAGGAGTGTTGTGGTCAAGGTAGGTGATGATGAACTGGAAGAATCTTACTTTGTTGAAGCTAGTTACTGTCACTTATCTAGGCTTTTTTCAGTTTGCATCCCCTGAACTGGCCTCTAAAATTGTTGAGACCCAGATGGATTTTCTTTCCACCACATTACTTGTCGAGAAGCAGCCCTCAATCGCCAGTGATGATACCATCTACGAGAAAGACACTGATTCGGAAGATGAAGTTCCAGCCAATCGAGTACATGAAGGTTTGTCTTTACTTATTAATGAAAGTTCTTTGAGCCAGTAAGTCAAGAAATAAGTTGTGATATAGTGACACAGAATATTTTTCTAACTTGGAATTATATCCTACAGATGTAATCAACTCACCGGTTAGGAAAAAAATTGACGTCAGGTCGACTCCTCTTAAGGAAAAGTTATTGACTAGTAGAACAACAAATTTAAATTCTTTCTTCAAAAATTTGTCATTTATTCCTCAGTTGACTAAGGAAGTAACAGTTTCTAATCTTCCAGAGGATTTCAATGAGGTATGGATTAAAATTGTATGTTAGTTACATAAATAAACAAATAAATAAATATTGAAATTTGAGTGAATGGATTGAGTGTACAAGTCATCGTTTTGGTTTCAGGTCAATGTTCTGTTTGTCATAAATAATGCTCTCCACAGAAATAAATTTTGTGAGAGAACCATTAAACCTGCCAAAGAATGCAAGAAAACTGGTGATTCAACTGCTGTTGTTGAGGCATGTTCCTCCTATTGCCTTCACTAATGACCCACATAAGAATAGTTAACTTAATTATTGTAATTATTTTAAATTGTGTTATTTAGTTCACTTTAGTTGAAGCAGCAACTGAAACATGCTCGCTCACTATTGATTATGGGGACGACATCCTAAAATTAGTGCAAGAGGAGATTTTTCCAGAGCCAACTCCATTGCCGGAGCTGTCTTCTACTGTGAAAGTGTCTGGTTTGCCTATGTATTTTGAAGTGGTTCGTATGAAGGCCTGAAGTTGTCTTGTTTGCTTTCTACAAGTCTTGAAATTCCAGCAAATGAATTTTGTCTACATGATATTTCTGCGGTTTCAGGTCAATGTTCTGTTTGTCATAAATAATGCTCTCCACAAAAATAAATTTTGTGGGAGAACCATTAAACCTGCTAAAGTATGCAAGAAAACTGGTGATTCAACAGCTGTTGTTGAGGTATGTTCCTCCTATTGCCTTCACAAATGACCCACTAAGAATAGTGAACTTAATCATTGTAATTATTTTAAATTGTGTTATTTAGTTCACTTCAGTCGAAGCAGCAACTGAAACATGCTCGCTCACAATTGACTACGGGAATGACATCCTTAAATTAGTGCAAGAGGAGATTTTTCCAGAGCCAACTCCATTGCCGGAGCTGTCTTCTACTGTGAAAGTGTCTGGTTTGCCTATAGATTTTGAAGTGGTTAGTGTAAAGGCCTGTAGTTATGTTGCTTTCTATGATATATTAAAATTTCACTAAATGGATTGTTTGTAAGAGACATTATTTTGTTTCAGCTCAATGTCCTATTTGTGTTAAATGAAGCTTTGTACGCACAAAGCTTTTGCAAGAGGCCGGAGAAGCCAGCAGAGGCCTGTAAGAAGACTAGTGAAAAAACAGCCTCAGTTGAAGTAATGAAATACTTCTGGTCCATTCTTTTACTTGGGCAACAATTTAGACCTGATTGTTCAACCTTTTTTCATTTCTAGTTCTCTTCTGTTGCTGCTGCAAGTGAGATTTGTTCGGGGCCAGTCTTTTATGGTGAAGACTTACTTGTTTTGGATCAGGTATCAGAAGCACCCAAACAATCAGATTGTCCCAGTATGTATGTTTCTGAACCTTATGACTGGAACGATACCGATATACTGCAATTATCCGATGTTAAGAACAGCGACACTGTCCAGATAACTGGCGTAACATCTTCCTACACTTCAGTATGTAGATAACTTGTCTTCATTCTGTCACTGTATTGAGGCAATTCACAGTTATGCTTCAATAACTAACTTCATTGGGAAATGTTGCAGGATACTTTTAAGAAATTTCTGTTTGATGAAATGAAGGAGGCTAATTTCTTAACTGAGGACGATTTTGGTGCTATCGTCAAGTGCAATTATAATTTATCTACAAAAACTGCAGTTGTTCAGGTACATTTTTTTTCTAAGTGGATGAAATTTATATATGTTGTGTGTGATGCACAGGCCCTTTGTAATCTGGAACTGAATTTTAATTACAGTTCAGCACATCTGAGGAGGCAACATTAGCCACCCACCTAACTAACTTGAAAGTCACAAAGTTAGTACTGGATGACAACGGAAATGAGTGTTTGCCAGGCTCAGATGGTAAGTCTTTCTTGAAATGTACTAAGACATCTGTTAATGCATCTGTGCCTTGACTGATTTTTCTATCTTACACAATCCTTTTTAATGTTTCTAGAAGATGGCGAGGGTCAATTACTTTTGGAACACGATGAGGGGTTTAAGTACTTCTTGAAAGTATTAGCAAGGAAGAGGGGGGACATCCCCAAATCAGGAAGCCATGACAACTTCCTTGACACCCTAACAGGGTATATGGAAAAAAGAGGGGTAAAAACTAACATCAACGAAATGCGCAAGAAAAAGGCAACAATGCGGGAGAATTTTAGAAGATGGAAATCAAATAATAATGAGTTTCACCCACTCTTTAAAGTTCATTCAGTGATATTTGATCCAGCTGTAAAACAAGGTATTCTCAAAGGTTCAGTATATGAGTGGAATGCTGAAGATGAGGATTTACTGCAGGAGCCAGAGGGTAGTGACAAGTTTCTTGACGACCTTATTAAGTTTTCTGATTCAGCTGGTAGGTTGTGAATTAATAGATAGCTTATCTTGTCCCTGACTGTTTGGAGAACAATACTTTTTTCTTATTTCAGCTGCCTCGTGGACCTTCAATGCTGAATTGGCTCTTGTACAAGCTTGCATTGACAACAGGACAGAGTACAGTAAACCACAGAGACATATCACCTTCTGGCGTTCAATCAGTGCGCAGTTGTATCAGGAAAAATTTATTTATGGGCCACAGAAGTGTGAGAATAAGATGGAGTCCTTATCCAAAATGTACAAAGATTACTGTGACGAAGCAGCGGCAACCGGGGCGCGAGGTCCATTTGAAATGATCAGAGACAAGCAAACTCGTGACTTAATGGACATTATGCATGAACTGAAAAGGAAAGATGTTGGCTCACATCCCAAGCACATCCAAGGTGCTGGTATTCAACTTGTGCACCAGAAGGTAAATTTGAGAAACCATTCAATTATGGCGTAATCATGTAAAGATAACAAAGCGTGTCTATTCAATTGTATCTGTTCTATAGGAGTCACCAGAAGGAACTGGGACTGGGGTTTTTCGAGGCAGGACACGTCCATCCAGCCTCCCCAGAGACAAGTCCATGAAAGAGCTTAAATTAGAAGTAGAGAAAGGAAAGTTGTCACTCATCCAGAAAATGGCCCAAAAATTGGACGGAAAGTGAGCAAATCATCATCATAATATCCTAGGATGCTCTTGCAATAATCACTGTATCTGAATTGCATTTTTACAAATACTTTTATTGGACATTGGGCCAAATTACTCAAATTTATGTTTCAATCTCAAATTTTAATGGAACAATGTTAATGTCTCTAATTTTAAGTGAAACAATGTGATAACATGACTGATTACTCACTTAAGCCTATTTACATTTCTTTTTTTATGTTTTTATATCTATCTAATATAAATGACTGATTAAAAACTTAAGCATACTTTGTTTCTCTTGTTACTAAACATTCAGCATCAACATGGCTGAAATGTATTGCCTTTTGTCCATGCCACGTGCTTTGGCAGCATTCATCAGGTTGACATAATTCCCATTATCTCTTTCACCATCGTCATCAAATTCTCCACCCTGAATTGGTGTTCATGCAAAAATTGAAATTAATTTCAAGAGGCAACATTAAAATCTTGATTGTTAAATGAATTGAAGAACTTACATCACAGTCATCTCCTTCAAGAATAATAAAATTGTGAAGCACTAGGCATGCCATTATGTGGTCTAGTTGATAATCAAGGGAGTAGGCTGGTAGATATTTTAGTCTCCTCTATTTACCTTTCAGCAAGGCAAAAGCCCTCTCAACTGCAGATCTGCATTTTGACAATGTCCTGTTGTGCGTCCGCTGTCTCAAGGTCATGTTGCCATTATCTTTGTACGGAATAAGGAGCTAAATAGCGAAAGAACAAATCAGTGGGTAATTAGATTACAGCAAACTACATATTCCACACATGTAAAACAGTGTTGGAGTACCTTATCTGTAAGTGGATAGGCACCATCACCTAACAGGTGAAAGCCATCCATAAAGTTTTGTTGCCTGAGCATAATTTGGCTCAAGGGGCTTCTTCTATACATTCTGGCATCACCTACTGCACCAGGTTGTCCAATAAAAACATCCCTGAAGAGAAGGCGGTCGTCACAAACACCCTGAACTAATAGGGAATATTGGTGATGCCTATTCACATACTGCTGCTCTTGTTCAAGTGGTTTTGGAATTGGTATGTGGCAGCCATCTATGCACCCAACAACCTGAGGGTATCCATACCGTCCCTCAAAAATTCTTGCAATAGACGCCATCTCACGATTACTTGGCCATTTGATAAATCTGCCACGTAGTTCTCGCAATACTTCAATGATGGTTCGATATTGATTATGTATAGAACCCCTTCCTTTACCAAAGGTGACTCCAGTGCTTCTAAATGTATCAGGGTTTGCCAGAGACCACAAAGTGTACTGCAAGGCATCACCAATCGGCAATCCCTTTCTAATAATTCTCCCAGTCTCCCGCATATGCCGTCCAACAGTTACGGTCAAAATCTATAGGAGGTAAAAAGAATTTACGCTCATATTAGTTGTTACACACAATAACCAGCTCAAGAATAAGGCCCAGAACATAGATTACTTCAAAACAGCGTCGATCCATCCGGAAATGCTGCTTAAAGAAGGGATCTTGCAGAGTTCTCCACCACTGCATATCACAATTTGGGTATGATCGACCTGCACATCCAAAAATATATAATATGCACCAAATGCATTCACTAATATAATAAAAATTTGCCAATTAGTAAACTGAACTGCATGCAGTACCTTCTCCTCTACCTCTTCAAGTCTGCCTTCCTCTTCTACATCCCCATCATCCGAATCAATATCATCAAGAGTCGATAATAACAGCATAAAGTCATAGATATCATTATATAAATCATTAACAATATCCATCTCTAAGCAACGAACTCTAAGCAACGAACAAAAATGTCAACTAATACTTCACAGGCACTAAACTAGAAACCGACTTTGCTAGTGCATTCCGTTCGTTCTGTTTATGTTTTGATTGTAAGCCGATCTGCCTCGTCTGCTCCCAAAATCTAACTTTCTCATTCCACCTTGATATCCGATCGTCACTTGTTGTTACAAAACGGAACGAGCGCGAGCGCCGCGCCGCGGGCCTTCTCAAAATGTCGTTTGAGACTGCAGACGCAGCAGTAGCGCAGATCTCGACGCCAAAGGAATTAAAATACTAAAACATTACATAATAATTATCTGTAGGCCTTCCCGTTTCCTAAAATATGCATATATTCGCGTTTTAGAGCGAATTTGCGCATTGGAGAGCGGTTGTGGGGTGGGTGGGTGGGCGGGTGTGTGACCCGCCTCTTATTTTGACGCGCCCCTCCGCTTGCCCCTCGCCCTAGCGATCTCGTCTTCCCCTCTCTTCCTCTTCCGTCTCCGTCTCCGTGCGGGTGCGGTGTCCGGTCCA